AGAGAGAGAGAGAGAAATGAAAATGAAAGTAAATAATTTTAAACACAGTCGATGAGGTCAAGAGAAGAAAAACCGAAAGATTATATTGTTCTATCTCCCGTATTTGTTATATTATACATTTTAATGTATTTTTCAAAGTCGAATATAAATTTTTTTCCGTTATATTTGTTTCCTTCCTTCTTCTGTAAAATAAAGTCTTTCGATTTTTCTTCGCGACAGTTGTCTGTCCAAAGGAGCGGACCAAGAAGGAAATAATAAGCTAACAAAGTAAGAGTACGGAAATTATGAAGACGTCAGTGGAAAACTGGAAAGTGTGCGCGAACACACGCTGGCTGAAATGGAACGGAAGAAGGAGGCGAGGATCCGCGAAGAAGCGGAGTCAGGAGACAGACGCCGTGGGATCGCGGGGACACTTGCATGCGAGATTCACGTGGGTAGTCTCTATTATCGTGAATTTCCCTTCGGAGGTTATTGCGCGAGGAAGCGCACCCGTGGCACGCGGAGTCACATTTTTCCCAGGAGTGAGGACGCGCGTGTGCGTTTGTGTGCGCACGCGTACACGCTATCTGACCTCGTGTCTATCCACACGCGAAACGCGTCCCGCGCGGCTATAAATCAAAACTCGGACGACTCACGGCCTCGTAGATTGCGGATTTACGCGGTTTATGACGCGCCCGAAGGAAACCGTCTCTCGCCCGCGCGCAACTAAGCGAAGTGCATCGTCCGATTTTTACGAGGGTGTATCGACGTAAATATCGCGATAGACGTGGAAACGAAAAATATCCCGGGCTAGGCGGAGAGATTGGGACATGTATCAAGATACGAGATTATTAATGTTACTTAATTCAATTTTTGTAGTTTTAGAATTATTTTTTTTAATTCAACATTATCATTTAATTCAACACAAGAGTTTGTAACGTCCCCCCTTTTTTAAATATGTTGTAACTTGATTTTAAAAAAGTTAATTACATTTTAATACAGATAACAAAAAACTGTGAGGCGAAAGCATAATAATGTCGTACTTGACGTAGCTCATGAAATCTCATTATTATTTATACAGTCATAAACATAGTTTAAATACTGTAAAATTATGACTCCGTGTAGAATCCTCACATGCATACGCACGTACATCGAAGTAAATCTCCGAGAGAATATAGAATTAATTCGCTGCTCCCTCGGACCGAGCAACACGTATAAATTTTACATTTATTCGTTACGCCAGTACTTAACGCATGTGTAAGTTACAGGAATATCATGACTAAAAAAGAATAGGTAATTAAATATCTATTAGATTAACATGTTTGTGTGAATGTGTTTATACTTAACTATATAATTGCATAATATAAAGTTTTGTGTAATAACGCAATTTATAATATGCGAATCTGTTGAATCGCTCGGAATCTATTGTAAAGAGATACAGAGAAAACACACGGCGAGTAAAAGATGCAGCGTTAAATTCACTCGCGGATATCGCAAAACTGAATTTTCGTCTGATCGTGAGTCACTTTGCAATAACGTTTCACTCATGCGCGTATATGTACGATACATCAACCGCAGGCATACGTACGCGCGGCTACGCGAGAACCCGACGATAAATCAGAAGTCCGGCCACTTGTTTTCTAGTTTTGCAGATTGCGAATTCGCACAGTTTATCGGATAGGACAAGCCGAGTCCGAAGGAAGTGCCATTGCGATGGGATTAAACGGGACAGCGGGCATTTTTATGAGAGCGCGCGTGCACGGAAATACTACTGCTGAATGACACATAAATATGATGTACAGGAAACAGAATTAAAGTCACAAATAAAAATTCGCGTGTCAATTAAGATTAACAAATAGATTGTGGCAGAATAAAAAAATGATGCAATCCGAATTTTGTTTCAGTTTTTCCGAATATCCAGTAATATTATTGCTGATATTTCGTGCAATTTTCAAGATCATATATATATTTGAATTAGTTTGAAAATTATTTTAAAAATAGCACGATTTTCCTATGTAACAACGTCGATATAGCGACAGCATATCAAAACTTTATGTTCAATCTTATCGAGGAAAAATGACGGAAGAAAACTTTTCTTAGCCGTCTCGGGAGTCGCTGGGATAGCGACAATAATCATTCTGCAATTAATTATTGATATCTATACTGATAATCGGAATTAAGCTGATAACCATTGCTGTCCTCAAAATTAGAAAGTTGAATTAAGATCATTAAAAATGTTCTCATCTTCGATTAAGGTTTGAAGTCTGCACGATGAATTTAAGACGAGCAAATTATTTTATAGGATTTTATTGAAACGAGCGTTAATTTAATTTTTAAAAAATTTTAATATACGAAATACATTTTCAAAATCAATGACTTACAAAACATATAAATACAAATACTAATAAAAATTTACCCAGCAGAAAAAAATATGCCTTTTAGAGAATTAAAATAAGAATGTTTCTATATAAGCTTTCAATTTAGACAGTCTATATGAATGTATCCCCTCGAAATAATAAATGGCCTGTACTAATTAGAAGATCGTTATAAATTGACAGTAGATAATTAATGATAGTTCGAGGCTAAATGTAGATCTTTTATGAAGCGCATAAATAAGGAAAAGCGAAAATAACAGCTTATTTAATTACATTGAACACAGCTTTGTACATATTTTAATATATCGTTATTTAAAAGCATATTACAATATAGTAAATTACATATTTCTCTACGTAAAGATTTTCTATTAATTATTCGTAAAAGTTTTTGTTTTCTCGTGCTTGATATTAAATAGATTTTATATTATTAAATAGTGTAATATCGTAGTAATTATATTTCAAATAAAGTATAATTATTGAAAAGATGTTAAATTTCATTTGTACGTTTTGATTTTACTTTCTAGCTCACTCTCTTAATTTATGATCCCTATATCTCAATTTAGGAGAAACTGTTACGTGCAATTCTTCATCTTCGCATTGCCATCTCTTCAAATGTTCGTGAATGTTTCCGCCGAACATTCGTACGGTAAGAAGCGCCATTTGCTCGCGATTTGTCGAAAGCGGCGCGGGATTTAACGACTTTTAAGGAGGAAGCCAATGCGCGTCGCGTGCAAAAACGTCTCGAGTGCAGTGCCGGTCCGCGGCTGATGCTGGCTTTTTGCATCGGCTCTTGCCAGGGGATGGGCTTTGGCGGCCGTCTGAGCTAATTCTTATGCGATCGTAAATAATGTCGCGCATATATCAAAACTTACAGCGACTCCCCATCCCGGCGTCGCAGTCGACGTCGCTGTCTCCTGCGGTAGTCCCGTGTCTCATCCCCCCCCCCCGCTCCCCCGTTCTACCTGCATCCCTCATCTCGCGTCGCGCCCCTTTCGCGTTCCCCTTGACCATCTTTAGCATCTTCTCTTCCTTTCCCATCACTTACCGCTCCGAACATTTGTACGTCTGCCAAACGGCACTTATCGTCGGTCAAATTAAAGATACAATTCCGCGATCTTATTAATTAAGAAAGTTAATTACGCCAGAATTCATTCAATTTTCCTAATTGCACATCGCCGAGTTTTCACGCCGCTTGTGCGCCTAGCAACGGTAGAATCCTGCCTTGTTCGTTTGCGGAGTTATACGGCTACGTCCAGAAAGTCGGCAGACGGAGAGTGCCAAGGGATGATCGAGGGTTCCGTCGAAAGTTCCTCTCTCTCCCTCTCTCTTGACCCCTTTTAATTTCACTATCTCGATTTAAGCACGGATTTTCCTTTTTCTTATTTCTCTTTCTTCGGATATCTTCTTTCGTCCTTCTCACCATTTTGCAACTGACTGCGAATTTTCGCGAGAGGTTAAGAAAAGCGCCGAGCAAAATTACTTAAAATAATACTTTATACTTTTTACAAATTTTTTTGTAATGGTTTATCTTTTGACTTATGACTCATTAAAACATTACGTATTTCTTCGCGCTGAATGGATGAAGATACAAGATAAAAGCGGAGATTTACTTATACGAAATGTTTACGTGGCGGTGCAATTCAGAGAAATCGATTAAAATCTTTTTTAAGAAATTATAGAGGAGTAAACAAGCGTTAAATATGACTCTACAAATCGGGACATTTCGTGCCGTTGTAGCGAGTTATGATATCACTTTCCGACATCCTATGAATCCCTGGTGCCTCGGTACGTCGCCGGCTCAGTCTAGACGATTCATGGATACTTCCAAGATATTTTAAATATATATCGAGCACGACGGACTGCGGAAGTTTGCAGAGAGTTTAATACCTAACGGCTCCCTAGACTGTCGTTTATACCGGCTCCAAAACTCTCCGCTCCTCCTGGATCTCTCCTCTCATTTCTTATCTCGCTCTCCGCTTCCTCTCACGGTGTCGCATCCTCTTAACGTACGATATTATTAAATTTCGAAGCCGAAATACTCGGGCAAAGTGAAATCTTCGAGCTTCGGCTCCGCTAATTTTTCATCCGTTACCCATACCCGCGCCGCCGCGACGAGAGTTCTTAAACTGCGGAATCCATTTATTTCGTTTAATACGACAATGCACACTTTAACAGATATCTTCCGAGTCGGTTAAAGCGCTGGTGTCGGTGCAGCTATAACGTGGATTATAAACGGATCTGATCTAAGCTTTCAATCTTCTAACTTTCTTCGTTTATTACAGAGAAGTATCGAAAATATTTTGCATTAACAATTCATACGATACGAAATCTATCGTTAATTACGCACGGGGGGAGGGGGGGGAAGAGGGTAATTATTTATCAACTTACACGCGCAAATTTTGTATACGCGCAGAGCGGAAAATTGTGCATCCATTAACTAAAGACCTCTCCATTTTTGTACAACTTTGTACTCTTTTACCTCGCTTTAGACGTAAACTCTTTGGGGCGAGCGGACAGTTTCCGAGACAGTGTCTAAGGAGTTGCTAAAAGCGAGCGGATGAGCTAAAGTGCAACTTACTCGTGAACTTCCAACGCTCGTAAATCATTATGATTCCGCGTGGCTATAATGCGGACGCGTCTGCACTTATTACATCTTGATATATGTATATAAAACTTCATAAAAAAAATTGGATGAATAATTATGAGAACGATGTACATAATGTAATATTATTCACTGGTATTATATATTTAATTATAAATTTTTGTTAATATGCCGTTTGTGAAATGAATTTTTAATTTACTATCTCCTCGTATGGTGATTTTCTCTCTCTCATAAATTCTGAACCATCCGTTCGAAAAAATTATTGACTCACGAGGGAAATTATTTGCTCGATCTATGCGACCCTTACCGGTTATCCGCTATCGCAGATTGAAAATTAATTTTTAATTCCGCTCTCGCTCAGTCCGATAATCAATTCTCTTATAATTAAGCGCATGTTATTTTAGAATATATCGCAGTTAGTTTTCAGAAGGGCTTAAATACTTTGAGTGTGAAAAACGACGTTGAATAATAAAGAGCTGAAGTATTTGGAAAAACAAAATTGAAAATTATGAATAACCTAATATGGTAATAAAAGGTAATTAAAATATTCTAATTAATTATCAATGAGTTGGTATACCAACTGCTTTTTACAATTTATACAAAGCAAAGATTTTATATCTCAATTTTCAGTTACATCCAACACTTATTTATATATAACATTTATACCTATCATTAAACAATTTTATGATTAAAATTTGAATAATGCCCGTCATAGTTTATCGTTAGTTATTAGAATATCATTTTTCTGTTTCCTTAAACATAATAAATTGCAGCAGAATTAAAATTATACTTTTCTTTTCTACATAACTACATAATTGAACTGTAATGTTGTATTACATAACAAAAAAATACTTTTCAGAAAGTATTTAAGAGAAGAATAGATTTCCTCAAACCACTTGAAATTATCATGCCGAAGTTGGTGCCGCAACTTGGAAACAGTAATACAATCAAGCGTACGTTTGCACGTCATTTGCATTCCGAATTGTCCATGCGGGAGGTGCCAAGAGTAGATACTGTCAAGTGTTGCGATCGCAAACCAAACCAACGGTGATAGATCGTCGTGCTCCCAGATGCAGATGCATCATACGTGCAAAGATTTTGCTTCCGCTTTAACCGACGTCGCGTGCAGTTCCGCCGTGTATGCGTGCCGCGTGCCCGTACACACGTGTCGCATTCCCAGGCACCAACACGAACGCACATTGCTCACGATCGTAATCGTAAGCTCGCCTCGATCGGTCGTGCGATTCATACGGTTAATGACGCAGCTTTCGTACGAATACCTGATCGGGACGCATACCCCGGGTACACGCTGGCATACCTCGGCAGCATATTGTCGCCCGAATTCTGGAGATCGCCATTGGCACGGTCGATCATCATCGATCCTTATCGAATTCTGAGTTATGCGCTAATGATAATTATCACTTATGACGATAACCGTTATGTAATGACGTAACACGTAACGCGCGCGTGCAAAATCGTTTACGTTTATATTTTATTTAGGAATTTGTCATCAGGCGTTAGGATTAAATTTTTAAATATTATTAAATTGTTATTATATGTTGTTATTAAGCTTTTTAATGTTTTCAGTTTTTAAAAATTTTAAAACGTACATATTTGAGAACAATATTGAAACAATTCGGTTATAATGTGTAGCAATTAAGAACAATATTCTCCACAGCAGTAAATATAATTAGTAATTTGATCAATGGAACTGTAGAATTGAATTTACCATGCCGCATTACGTAATGTTACTTGTATCAAGAAATTAATAATTAATTTTCAATTAGTGAATATGCATGCATAGAGTCAGACATAGTTGGAATATTGATAATATGTCGCTTATGGAATATGACAGACCATATTACTACTTACACTACTGAATACTGGTTCGTCAATATAAAATCTCACTACTGCGTGGTTGTCTCGTACGATATATTGACTGTTCAAATTGAACGTTATTCTACAATAATGTATTGTGATTTAGGAGTATAATGACTTGTTTTTTGATTCTCTTTTTATAAAACTTTATTTTTTACCGATAGCAAAGGTTTCTCGTTATATTTTTAGAGCTATCGATATTGTCTTTCTTGAAAAAAGAAACGGTTCGCAAAGTTTGTTCGCGTACCACAAAGCGGACGTATTCCAGCTATTAAAGGATCAACGCTGCGTAATCAAAGAAGAAGTCGTTAAGAGCGTAATTTCAGAAAATAAAGTACCTGTTACCGGTTTCTCCGGTAAAGTTTTGCTTTCGTTCCTCTTAATGGTCGTAAAGATGAAGGCGCGATTGGAATTTAAACTTCAAAGGGCTACGGCGGTCAAAATTAAGGTTTTCTTCGTCATTAAGACTTTAACTACTTTCTACACCGGCTAGCAATGCAAGCGATCGAGTATAGATCTATCTCGGTGTGCAAATAGGGAACATAAAATGAATTTCGAGATCAAAGCGTGAAACGTTTTCTTTTATTTCTATCGATTTTTGCCAACGCCTCGAAGTATTTCATGTTCTCGATGACAACTCGATTAAAATATTTACGACTGCTTTAAATTTTCTATGACGTATAGCCATTGTTTGCACCACGCTGGAAATATTGAATTTTGACAAACCAACTGTCTTCGTGCAAGCGCAACTAAATGCGTTTACACATGCTCGGTGTCACATGTACGCTTGATTTTTTTACACCAAGATGTATCATTAATGCATCGTACAATATGCGGAGAATTTTAATATAAAGCATTAAAATTTAATATAAATAGCAATATCATTACTTTGTGTTACTTCATGCATTAATTCATGTAAACTATGCTTGAATCTACTGATATAATGATTTTTCTCGATACGAAGTTATTGTGAAAATTTCGTGATGGAATCTATACTCTGCAAATTGCCTCAAATTGATCTTCGCATCATTGTATTAAGTTTAAATAGCGAAGAATGGAGAAATGACACGAAAACGCGTATCGACACCCCTCAAACAACGCAATAATTAATGGATCCCTTGTAACATGAGGAAACCTATAATCCCGTAATCTTGAAGCGACATTGATTTACGAGTGTGGGTGGTGTCATTATTCTCAAAAAGTATCAAGATTTCCGGATCGTGATATCCAGATTCAATATCCTAATACGGCAATTTTTCAACGTCTGCTCATACGAAGCGTTCCTGCCGACATGACACTCATTAGATGATATCGCGTGAAACCGCGTTAATTTGATACCGTACTCGTAAATATTCATACGATTACGAGCGCGATACAAGGACGGCTGACGAGTGTAGCACTGACACCTGATTCTCCTTTTTTGCCTTTCTGTTACAGGAGAACGCACGGAAGCCATGCAACGTGACGCCGGATACATCTCTTCCGGAAGTGACGTCAGGCACTGGCCCGGACTTCTGCTTCCGTTTTCGTGGTTTCTAATACTCGCGCGCAACAGCCAAACTTTCTTGCTCTAGTGCACACCCGACAGTATTTCACGCTTATTTCTTGCCGTTTCCAACACTGAAATGTACCTAAAATGCGACCAAGCCAATTTAGATCGTGAAAGATGAACTTTTGTAGATTTTAAGAACATATTTATAAATCGTTTTATATGATATTCCAGGCAAAGAAATTATGCAGTTCACGAATTGATTGCGATAAGAGTCATCTGAAGCCATCTATATCAACAATAGTATTTTCAACAATAATTAGAAATATGTACAAAAGTAGAATAATGGAGAACTTGAATCTAGTTTGGGAAATATTTTAAAAACGTTTTACAGGTCGTAGAGTACAATCATGGTCGATAGATTAGATCAACAGTTAAATATAATTACTTAGTGCATATAACAATCGAGGAGAATAATATGGAATATTATTTATGTAACATTTGTCTGTCTATCTTTTATAGATAACAAAAAAATTGATAAAAGATACTTATAATCGGGTAGTTCGTAAAGAATATATGTATATGAAGATTATGAATTTGTCTGTAATTGAGAAGTTGATTACAGCAAGATAAATAGATTCTGTGACGGGTTCTGGTAGATATTTATTATAGATAACAATTAAGCAAATATTTGCTGCAATAAAGTAATTTTATATGAGAAAGAAAATAAACACGCATAAAACTTCACATATAAAACTCAATATTTTTTACAAAAATGCATATGTAGCAAAAACAACTCTGTTTGCAAAATAATCTTTGTTTTTTTCATGAATGTATAAGTTCTTTCCGATTGAAAACCTCAAATTTTCTTTATTAATTAAGATGTTTTACAAAAAGTTTTATATATTTATTTGGCTCTCCGATTACATATATATGTAAAATGTTAAGTAGATTTTTTTTTTTTAGTAGAGAATTCAGCACGAATGGAAATAAAAATAAAATGTCCTTGCACAAAATTCCTCGCGTGCTGTCCCGTAAATTTAGCTTCGTGAGCAAATAATTCATTAAATGACCTGCGATACTCCATTTGATCTCAATGTTCTGGAATGTTCTTTTCGCCTGTGCCCTCGCAATTCACGGCATTTCTTTGAGCGCAGCTCTTAAAGTCAATGGGATTAAAGCGAACGCGCAGTGCCAAAGGATGCGGAGGTAATTTGATATCGTGTATCGTGCTATATCCTTTCGTTCGAAGAGTCGAGGAGAATGCGTCATGAATTTCATGAAATTCTAGCAAATAAGTATGTTACATTCTTTTCTTGTCACAATGTATCTTGTCTATAAATAATTATGTAATTTACCGAATTGTTGCAGCAAAATAAGGTACGTATTAATTTTTAATAATTATAAACTTAATTTTTTTGTAAATACAAATAATTTTCTATTAAGAATATTACGTAAATATATAATATATAATATATATATATATATATATATAATTATATATATAATTTGTACAAATTAAGATATACATGTTTAGATATATAATTTGATTATTATGCAGAACAAAAGACATGAACTCATACTGTTATACTTTATGATTTAAATTAATATATATATCTCTTTTCTATATTTTTGTATTATTCCAAATTTTTTTAATATAAAGTGTTTTATAAGAATTATACGGATAATGTATGTGC